CATATTCCCTGATTGAAAGAAGATATTTCAGGTCTTTTATGCGGTTTCCATAATCCTTGGCTCTTTCGGCCTGTGCAGGGGAAATATGGCACACATCCTCCCCCCCGAAATGTAAATATGCCTCTGTGTCTTTTTTCTTTTATCATTTAGTTCCTGGGTTGGATTTCTCTGTCCTTTTGGAAGGAGGAAGGGGCATTTCAGCATTTTTAATGGGGGAAGGACGGGGAGTATGGAGAGGGGTACAGGAGGATCTTTGTCTGTAAGGGCTGGGATCTCTACTGAGGGGAACTGATTTTGAAGGTGTTGAGAGAGTGGAAGGATGTTTCTTAGGTGAAGGTGTGGGCAGGCATTGAAGGAGTAGCATTTTTGGAAAGGGACTGTTTTTGTTTGTCTAATTTTTTTTCAACTCCTTGATCTTTTCCGTTTTCTCCAATCCTGGGTCATATTTTTTCTGTTGTTCTTTTAATGTCAGATGTGAGACCAGGGCATCACCCTTAACATTGACAGAGGGAGTGCTTATGTTTGTGCCTTTCATCCTTGGGGGCTTCATGGGACTGAGGACCCACTGTCTGGCACTTTCCTCTGGCCTTACCAGCAACCAGCCATTCCTCCTCCCCATCTCCACAACTGCGCTAGCAGTGGGTGAAGGCTCTTTAGGGAATGGGGCCTTAGAAGTCGAGTGAGCCAACCAGAGGTTTGACCGTACCAGTCCTGGAAGCAGGCAAGGCAGAAGGTAAAGATGCGGTCAGAGGTGGATTTTGGTCAACTGGAGCCTGACTTCCAGAGGCCTTCTTTTCTGGGCAGGAAGTGGAGAGGTGACTAGTTTCTCCACACTTCCAACATACCAGTTTGCGTCTGGTCACAATGACCAGCAGCTTCAAGCTCCCTACTTCCAGACAGTTGGGGATGGAGAGGGATGGAGAGGAAGGCTTTTCGATCTAACAATATGTCAAAACTCCATCCCCCGTTCAGGCTATCACAGGAAGTGCCCAGTATCTCACCATACTACAAGAGGAAAGTGGCAAAGAGTGACCTCGTATATTGCTACTTGGTCCTTCTCCTGCCTTTATACTCTGTGCACAATATCAAATCCTTTGTTATAAGGTCTTGACTGGATGCATCAACACAGTCTTCTGGCATGGGTTACAGTAAGTCCGACATGAAAAATCCAGCTCCCTTTACGGTTCTGAGGGGCTTAAACCCCAGGGTCTCCAGTGATTTCACCACTGTGTCTTTCGTTGAATGACGAATTTTGCGTGTATGCTTGGCGACAACGTTTCTTAATTTTTCTTAATTTTGGGAGGTCTTCTAAGAGTCCACCTTCTACGACAAGGTGTATGTAACTCTTAGCTTGCTCCAAGAACTTCACAATATTGATTACGCAATTGGGGGGGGGGGGCTTCTAACAAGAGTGTGATTCCCCGGACACTGTATTTCCTTTCTTCTTGTCTTTGTTTTGGCCATTATTGGCCTCCATATTTTTCACGTTTTAGTCATTTTTGCTCTCTTTTGGGTAATTATCCTTTTTTAGTGGTGTATTTGTCAAAACAGGATATTCCTCTGTGTTATCTTTGTCAGGTGGGTGCTTTTTTATGGAAAACAAATGTTTTTTCACTGACCTCTTGAAGTCAGCCATAATAGGTTTCTTTCTTTTGATAAGGAATGACGGAATATTGCTTTTTTTTTTTTTCTCCACTTTTAAAATTTATACGATGGAAAGGAGAGGGGTGGTAAGAACAATAGTTGCCTATAGTTGGAAAAAAATGCTTAATGAACAAAGTTCACCTAGTTCATGAAACAAACAAATTTAAAACGAGACAAAAATAATAATAAAATAATAATAAAATACTTTAAAAAAAGAAAAGCAAAAACTTGACAAGAAAAATGTGAATAATTGGTCACAAACAAATGAAAAAAATAAATATGCACAAAATTATAAAGGAAAACAATAGTTTAAACGAAAAAAAAACAAAAAAATCTTATACAAACAAAAATCCAAATAAATTACACAAACTAAGCTAAACTATAAAGAAAACACTTTAAACAACTATAATCTTTTTTTTTAAAATAAATATAAAAGTAAAAAGGGCAAGCTACAAACACAAATGTGAAACAATGTGTATAAATTAAACAAGAAGTTCAAAATGGCTGCTTTAAAAATAAAGGTTTGCCGATAAACGAAATACAAATATAGAAAACAGACAAGTTAGACTAAACAAACACAAACAATTAGAATAAATATGAAAACAAGAATTAAACAATTAGAACACTTAACAGATATTTAAAAGGAAAAAAAAATAAAAAAAATGAAGTAACATGTAACAAATAACACGTAGTAATTGAACAAAGAAAAAATAAAGTCTGATGACGAAGAACAGATAAACTCTGGGAGCAGGATATGGAAAATCAAAAACGAAAAAAGTAAATTAAAAAGGAGACTTTAACATAAAAATCAAAACTAATAATAGAAGAATAAATACAAAATAAAAGGAAAAAAATGGGAATGCAATAAATTGAAAAAGAAAGGAAAAAGTGAAAAAATCAAAAAAGTTTTGAAATAAGTCAGCAAAATAATGTAAATTGTAAAATAAATTAGAACCTAACTAAAACGGAATTTGTAGAACAAAAAAGAATTTCAAGCGTGGCAGTAAATACGGTCTTGTCAAGTCTAGTAAGGACTGCAAAGCTGATTAAGGAGACAAACGTCAACTTATTAATCAACTGTTAAAGTCCTTAATTGTAGACTATTTAAGGCTATGAGCTAGGCTATCTGGTAGTGCTGAAGTGGTGCTAGCAACTCTACAACACAAAGTAAAAGAGTCCAGTTGTGAGACTGGCTGGCTGGAAGGCATAAGTTCAACTTCAGGCGGGAACAATTATGGTTTTCTCTTTCTGCGACATCTGTGGAAGACTGATTTATGGTCAATCCCTGTATCTATGAGGACATGTTTCTTTCAGGTGTCAAATTACAAGTAAGTTACAAATCGGTCAGTTGTTCTTGAAACCAGTTTTGTTGTCACCTATGCAAGATGGGGGTGAATGTGTTACCTTGGTGGAATAAACTGCCACCACTGGGAAATACATTGAACATAAGAGGGTTAACTGGTCTGCAAAAAGATCATTGTATATCAAGGTAGACTTCAGTTGGTCCTTGGGAACCCCAAAAGAACACATCCCATACCATTACAGAATGACCAACAGTTTGTATAACACCTCCTTGCCTATATTCAACTGCCAGTCCTAAAAAGCTGGATACATGACCAGGTGGCATGACCAACGTCCAATGGTGCTGTTCTCTGGACTAGGTGAAGTGCCGTAATTGATATTGTATGTTGATGACTACAAAACCCCGTAAAATGAAGTGTATACTGAACAGTCCACTGGATGACAAATTGAATTAGGATGTGATCTATATGGTTTCTATCCTTGTTGGTGGTTCCATTCTGGTATCACCTGTGGATGCCTGATATGTGGTTGGAATTCACATTTTCTAGATATACATTTGTTTGCTATCACAATGATTAAATACACATATAGTTTTAAATCCTGTCTAATTCTCTTTGCTGTCACACCTACATTACCTCTTTACCTGTCATCTCATCTGGCTGATTCATTTTCTACAAGTAGGGGAAAGTGAAACCATCCACAGTGCTACTGTCTCTAATTAATGGCAGTTGATCTTGAAAATGACCTCAAGTCTGTTAACACTGGTAAGAAATGACTTGTCAATTTTAACATCTCCAAGACAAAACTTTTATCTTTTAGTCATCATCAAGAACTATTGTTGCCTTCCAGCAGCTTCACTGATGATGAACTCCAGGGGAGCAACTCTTTGTGTCTTCTTGGCTTCATGTTTTCCACTGACATGAAGTGGAATGATTATATTGAATCTATTGCTAAGTCTGCTGCTAGGAAGCTAGAAAATTTTTCTTGTCAGAATCCATCTTGCATGTTTATAAATTTACTATTTGTTCATGAATTGAATATTGCTGTCATATCTGGTCTGGGATTCCTGCTATATATTCTGAGATTCCTGACAAAATCCAAAGAAGAATCTGCAATGTTATTGGTCCTTACCTGGCATTCCAGCTTCAGTCACTTTCCCACCACCATAATGTAGCTTCCCTGTACCTTTTCTATAAATATTTTCATGATAATAGTTCTAATGAGCTCTCCACAAAATGATATTAAGCATACCACTTGATTGGCAAGTAGGTCTCATTGTTTTATTGTTGAAATAGATGTAACCTTATGTTCTATTTTCTTTTCTGCATTTCTCACTTGTAGAACTTGTTTCTGGCTTCTTTCTTCCCTGCCACCCATGATCTTCAAAAATTTAAATGCAAAGCCAATTGTCATCTTCTGTCTTCCTGAATCATGTTCTTTTATTCACCTTAATAAATTCGTTACTCCCTAAACTGCTGAAATGAATAAAGAAAAAAAAGATGTAACTTTTATACATTTGTAAGAAATACTTGAAACTGAAGTCAAATAAGGAACATTGATGAAATTTCACTAACAGTCAATATCGTCATGTCATGAGTCCTTTAACCTATGAAAATTGTAAAGGCAATGTATGTACAGTCTTTATGTTACCTGCTGAAATGAATGGAGGGGTCTTATACCAAATACATTAATATAAACACATAAGAAATCAAATAACAATGCACTGTTTTTGTTCCGTTGAGGTTGAAAGAAGAAAATTTTGTTAGAAGCAAGGAAAAGAGTACTGTTATAATAATATCAGACCTCCTATATGACAGTGAATGCTGAACAATCTCTTCACAGATGAAGAAGAGACTTGAATAAATGTGGTTCTACAGAAGGATACTGAGAATACCATGGACTGAACATGTGAGCAATGATGAAATTTTAGAAAAAAATGGAACAAAAAGAACACTTATATTTAGAATCAGAAAGAGATTGTTGAAACTTCTAGGGCACATAATGATGAAAAAGGGCTTGGAAAATTTGATATTTGATGTGTTTTCCTTTTACAGGAGAAAATTAATGGTCAATTTGAGCAGTCTGTCCAGGAAAATAAAATATTGCGCCAGAAACTGGCCAACCTTGAAACTAAATCCACATCTGGAACTCAATTTTCGACAGATGTGATTCAATTTGGTAAGTCTGTTTAATCTCTTAGTGACATTTAAAAAGAAAACGTTAAGAAGATGGACATTTTAATTTTTTCATAAGATTGATGGACAAATCGACAAACCCTGAAATGCTAACTATATTTGTGTGTTTTTCTTTAGAGCACTTACAGAAGCAGAACTTGGACCTTTGTAAAGACATTGAAATGTTGCAGAGCAGGCTGAAGCAGTATGACCAAATGCAGGCCCTTGCAGACATGTTAAAAGACAGTCACAAGTAGGTGTCAAGATGTCTATATCTGTTTGTTTATATATGAATGAGTGGTTAAAACATTCACTTTCTAACCAGAGGACTGGTTTCAAATCTTTAATGGTCGATTTGTCAGGGAGATGACTTCTTGATGTAATTGGCCTGAGGAGGTGATCCCAGCATGTGAAACCATTAGAAAGTGCTTGAAAACAATACTATTGGTTGATCCATATTTGTCAGGGAGATGACTTCTTGATGTGATTGGCCTGGGGAGGCGATCCCAGCATGTGAAACAATTAGAAAGTGCTTGAAAACAATACCATTGGTTGATCCAAGCCTTGTAGGTGAAATTGGGGAGATAGGCCTATTCAGAAGCCATTAATGGTTATGCTACCATGAAATCACAAGTCGTCATGACCAAGGTTTTGAGCATACTGGCTTTATTCAAACTGTTAATCATGCCAGATGATGTTCTCTCTCCCCCAAAACTGTAACTAATGTCTGCTCAGCACAGTTGCAGTTATAATGCTTGTATAAGTTTGTGGTTCTGGTTAATAATATTCCAAGGAAAATACTGGAACAAAAGATTAGTGATGAAACTGTTTAATCAACCCACTTTGGGACACATGTTGCGACAATTGTTCCTATGAGCAGAAGTCCTACTAATAGTGGGTGGACGAGTAGATGTTCAAGAATTTAGTGTAGAGCAGGTTGGCCGTCTTTCTACACAACAAGTATGAACCACAGGTGGTCTCTGGGTGTTGATTTGACACAAATCTGTCTGGGTAGGTGTCTGTAAGAGGGATTGGCTAGATGCTCTACCAGGTGGGTGTGCTCGATAATTGAGTAGCTAGCATTATATCTGTTTCTAATATTATCAAATCAGGACAGAACTGTACTCTCTCTAACTCTGCTTACTTTGCAAGTTAAAATTGCATGACAACAATGATTACACTAGTACCATGTTTATATATATATATATATATAATGATTTTAAGTGAAAAGTTGTTGGATAGCTATAAGACTTGTATATCTGTCATTAACGTCATTCTTACTTTACCAAGTATTCTAAAAATTAGAAACCTTTCCAAAATATAAACTATGATCTGGAATTAGAATGAAAGCAGTGATAGCACCTATTCTGAATCCATCATAAGAATTCATTGGTGAGTTGCAAAGTGCCAAGTGCAGAATCATTTTGGTGCCAAGTGCAGAATCATAGAATCATTTTGAAGCAATGGTAGAATCATTTTGATGCTAAGTATTTTGAAACCATATACGACTGGCAAAATTTTGTTTACTGGAGATTCTTGAAATCAAGTGTTAATTAAAATTAGTTTTTTTTTTATATTTAATTTATTATTTTACTTCCTTTTAACTTAGACCCTGCTTTAATATATTTGATATGTCATTTGATCCATTATTGCTGTTGGGTTCATTCTTCTCAGTTTAGCTGTTAATTTCAGTTTTTTTTTTTGCTAGTGTAATTTATCTTCCTTATAACTAATTTAATTTTTTTCTTGGTACTTACTAGTGTAGCTTATGGCTGAATAGTCAGATTGTGTTGGGTCATTCTTCCAAATGAGGAGTGCCAGAATATTTAAAATCTATTCTTTTCATATGTACTATGCTTAGTCAAGTGGAAGAATGTGAATCAAGGAAGATTGTGCTGTGCAAATTTTTGAAGTGAGGAGCGTCTGCTTTGAAAGCCAAGCTTTTATCTGTGCTTGATGACTGACCTTTGACATAAGCAGACTATTTAAATCTTTTTGTAGTCATTTTTTAAAAATCTGTTTCCTTGATTTTTTTATATATATATATATATATATATATATATATATATATTTTATTTTATTTTTTTTAATTTTTTTTAATGAATATTTCAAATTTGGGCATTCCACATAAAAAAATACTGAAATCTCTGCATTATTTATTGCATTATTTTATTTGTTTTTGATAATATTGTCTCGTCATTCCCTTTTCCCAGTTCTCTCATCCGAGCCAATAACCACTTGATGGCTGAGATTGAGGAATCTAAGACGCGGCATTCAGCTGAGGTGCATCAACTGCAGTGGAACTATGAGCAACTGCGACAGACAATGGCAGCATTGGAATGTATCTCTGAGAATCCTCCCACTGAGACTGGATCATTGCTCTCATTGGCAGCCGAGACAATGAGCAAGCCTTCTGTGAAACTCTATGATAGCGATGAGAAAGAATCTCTGACTTTCCACTAATTCACTTAGCAGCACCAAACTCAGTCCTTTTGTATCTGGCCAATGTTTCTGCAAGGATGGAGACATTATGGATGGCAGCATATCCGGGATGATTATATTTACACTCTGTCAACGAATGGGTATCTATAAAATTCTTTTCTGAAAAATGCCTGGATTTATTTCAACCAAAATTTTTATATTCCTCAAATTTCCTCATCTCTTTAATACCATTAGACTCACCCGTGTAGTGGAAGACCACAGCCTCAATACGTTAGTGTTGTTGCTGTGGTTTTTGTAGCAAGTATGTTTTCATAGAATGAAGTTACCAACCCCATACACAAAAGGTTTTGAATTCAGAGTGGTATTTCTCCTAGACTGGTTGGCAACAAAGGCTAGGGATTCCAGTCTGTCCTGCTATTTAACCCATAGCTTGGGAGAGAAGAGATTGATTCATACCTTTCCCAAAGGTATTTTGCAATGAAAGCTGTTATTTGAACTTGCCACACCGATTCCTACTATGCTATGTACATATTCAAAAATTTAAGAGTTTCAAAAAGATTGTATTATCTTCTAAATAGCTTTCATTTTCTCGCTTTTTCTGTGTTTCTGAAAACGATTGCATATATTTCAGATCAAATTTATCTGCACGTAATTTTGCAAACATGGAAGGGTTCTAATGTCATTGTACAGATAGATCATTTTTTTTGGCAAATGATCATATGTCTTTTAATCTTGACTAAGTACCAAACACACTGCATATCTGTTGTCCTCCCAGTTTAGTCATTCCTTAACTTAATTTGTTTCACTGGTTGATTTTGCAACATGCCTACCTATCCAAGAACTGAACTGCTGTGTAGCTATAATGTCGACATAATTGTCACAAAACTGTATATTCCCTATCCAACCACAAGACCAGGTAATACTATGATCTATGAAGGCTAAATATCACTCCCTTTTCATGGAGCCTTTGCTAAATGTTGTTAATTTTGGCAAACCTTTTGAAATATTTATCATGGAAATTAAGAGACATATTTAAGTTTCTAACAGACTTACTTTAACTAATTTAATTTTTCTTGGTATTTACTAAAATTAGTGTAGCTTATGGCTGAATAGATCAAGCTAGATTCTGCTGTGTCATTCTTCCAAGTAGGGAGGGCCAGAACATTTAAAATCTATTTTTTTTCATATTTACTATGCTAAGCCAAGTGGAAGAAATGATATATGCATAATTAGTGGGTCAGAGGTCGGTATTTGAATTACTATTGATCCCTGTTGGTATGGCAATAATACCTCAGTTTTGGATTCAAGGAAGTCAGAAAATCACTAGTGTAGCAGTTTATAACTTTGGGACAGCAGTTGGGGCATATGTAAATCTTAAAACAATTTCCTTTTTTTTTTTTTTTTTTGCCTACTTTTGTTAGGATCAAAAATTTCCCTTCACAATGCAAAGTTAAGCAATACTTAGTAGGTTGAGTCAAAGGTTTTTTCATATTTCAAGCTTTTATTAATAGTTGAAACAAATTATATATGAAAAGCGTTTATTCATCAAAATATATCCCATTATATTCTTTTGTCTGTGGTTATTGTACTCAAATCCACGCTTATACAATTTGGCTGGTTTAGAATAAAAAAAAAAAAAAGAACTCCCTGTACCTATTTTCAACCTCATCCACATTGTTGAAAATCCGTATGTGCCAGAAATGAGCCATCACTCAGAAAAGATGGTATTTTGACCACTGATTTCTCTTATTAGGATTATGGAAATAGATTCATTTTTCTCTTATTAGGATTATGGAAATAAATCCATTTTTCTCTTATTAGGATTATGGAAATAGATCCATTTTTCTCTTATTAGGATTATGGAAATAGATCCATTTTTCTCTTATTAGGATTATGGAAATAGATCCATTTTTCTCTTATTAGGATTATGGAAATAGATCCATTTTTCTCTTATTAGGATTATGGAAATAGATCCATTTTTCTCTTATTAGAATTATGAATTTTTTATCCCCAGTTACAATTTGATACTAAAAATAGACAACTTGAGGATTTGCCAGCAGTTGTTTGCAAATGTTCACATGTCATTGAGCCTGGTTATTGGTCAGTTCATAAGAAACTTCTTGACAGCATCATTTCATAAGCTTATGGAGATATTGATTGATGGTGCTTCCTTGGAACATCTGAACAAATTTTGTACCACATGTTCGTTGACAGTTCCTAGGCCTTCCACATTATTAATACTTTTGCCGCTGCCCTTGCAGTCAGTCCTTTTTTCCATAGGTAGCCTAAAATGGCTCTAATTGCAATTTTTTCATCATTTATTATCAAAATTGTAAAATAAAGAATAAACAATGCATCAATGATTGGACAAAAAGCTGTATCAAATTAATGATACACATGATGATAATAAGTTGCCAAAAATCATCAGTGAAAATCTGAAAAAAATTTTTGACACAACCTGATAGACTGGCCCACTTGTAAAAAATGTAAGGAAAATTCTTGAAGGAATAACTTTTGTAGATAATCATTTATTAAACCTTCCTCAAGCAACATTTGGCAGTCAAAAATTTTTTATTGGTTTAAAAGTAGGGGGGGTCCTGTTCATAATATCAATGCACTGTAAAATCGATCCTTGATTTTTTACAGATTTATTGAACTTAACTGTTATTTACAAATGTCAATTTTGAAACTGCTTACATTATTTATACCTGAATATTTTGGTTTTTATATTTAATGTTCTGATTTTTTAAAACTTTTAAACATTTTTTTAATAAACTTTTTTTTTTTTTTGAAACACATTGGGGAATAATATCGCATGTGAAAAATAAATGGATATAAACTTTTATTAATTGATGTAAATTTTTCTTTAATAAAAATGTATTTATGTATTTGTTCTTTATTTACAAGAAATCTTTAATAAAAAAAGTGTTTTTGTACATAGAACAAGTGAACTATTTCTGTAAAAAGTAAGGGATCAATTTTACATTGTATCAATTATGAATAGAACCACACCTTCTAAAATAATAAAAAAAACAATATTTTTTTTTTTTTATCCTGACACATGTCACACAGCCTAAAAAAAGATCTAAAGAATGCTAGTTGACAAAAATTACTTTACATTCCACCCAACAAAAACAGGTAATTTGCTTTTTAAGTCTTGCATTAAGTATCTAATAAAAATTTGCCAAATAGTTATATTTAGGTATAAATTTACATGCTTAATTAAAAAATGACAAAGAAATTTTGATAAAATTTACCGTATTTGGAGTTATTGATAATCAAAATTCGAACTCATTTGTGTTACAGCATAGCAGCCATTACTGGTGTTTGTATACATTTGCTGCTTATTAGATTTACATGGAAGATTACCTTGTTAACGGCCTTTTTACTGATCTTTCTTGTCACTATTACTGTGCAAATGAGGACACATTGCATGCACAATCATCAAGACAAGTGAATGTTAAATCCACAGCAAATATCTGCAAACAACGCCAGTAATGTCTGCCATGAAATGAATGAGTCTGAACTTCTATTGTCGATAACTCCAAAATGGTAGATTTTATCAAAATTTCTTTATTTTCGAATTAAGCATGTACATTTACACCTAAATATAACTATTCAGGATAATTCTATTAGATACTTAGCATGGGGCTTAAAAAACAAATTAACCAAAAAAAATTTTTTTTTTTTTTTATGCAAGCGGACCAGTCTCTTTAATTACTGCCCAAAATTGTTTTGATTTAAATATTTTCTACCTGAAGTGCCTCATAATATTTTATTCTCTTGCCTGTGATTGGCCATTTCTGCCAAGCAAGATTTTTTGATTGGATATCAATTTTACTTTCACTTTGTATTCACTTCCTCTCATTTTTCTTTACTTTGGCACTGCTTATTATTTTTGCTTCGTGACAAATTACTGATGTGATTTCTTTTCTGCTCTCGTTATTCTGAGATTGATGCAAATAAACAATGAAAATCAACTATATTTTCTTTGTTTATCAAATCATGATTTTTTTGAGTCATTTTTATTCTTTATATTTCATAATGAATGATGATTTTGAGATGATATTTATATAAGCAGCAAACATAAGATATATAATATACATGTTATAATAATATAAGCTGTATATAATTATGTATTCATAATTTGCATCGAGATTTTTGTTCAATAAAGTTAATATCGAAAAGTTTTTAAAGAATTGGCTTTTATTTATTTATTTTTTAATAATGCATTTTTTTAAAACCTAATTGTATTGTTTTCAATCCTGTAAAATTCAATAAAATATAAAAAAAAAATAATAACCCAGTTTAACTTGCAATCTCAGTCATGATTTAAACCCAAGTAATGGTGATATTTATTTCACTGAAAAATTATTCTGACCCACAAATATAAATTTTTTAACCAGGAAGCCTCACAGCACTTTTTTATAAGATGGTTTATAAGTTAATCCCATTGTTAGTGAATTTGATCCTCACTGGGTGTTATTATTTTATAGTTTCTATCAGACAAATATAAGCCTGGTAAATAATATGAATCTTTAATGGAAGAGAATAGCTGCGTTCATTTACTACAAATAAAGTCTAAGGAACAGGATCTTCAAAGCAGCCAGCCACTTGACTGAAAGCTAGAAAGTTCTGCTCGTAGAGTTACATAAACAGTCATAATTAAAATTAATTCTGCAACCATCTGTTGGGCAAGATCAGGATGACATGTAGGCGAGTTGCCAGCCGTGTGTTGTGATACAGTGATAGACGGTAGAGCTAGGAGATTGAAGGAAAAAACTGAAAAAAGTTTTGATTGCATGAAAAGTATAGAGCCTCTAAGGAATTGGTTTACCAGTCGGTTTTGATCCATGTGTTGCACTGCAATATCAGAGAAGATATAAAAACTATTAAAATTGTGTGAGAAAAAAAAATAACTAAAATATTAGAATTGTGTAAAAATTTAATATAGAGACTATTTTAATAAAAGTTAATATTGAATGTTATTGAGAACTAATTAAGAAAATTAGAAACGGTTT